TCAGAAGATTTAGATAAATACAAATGACTAAAACTCGTGGTGAGATCCTCTTCATTTGTTTTTGATAAATTGTCTAGATCATCTAAAGCTTCTACAACATCTTTTCTGTTCTTGATCTAAAATTGAGAAATCTGGAACCCTAGGCTTTAAGTCTTACACTTTGTCATGACGATATGTATATCAGGTCTTAGTAGGATCTGAGTTGCATATAAGCTTCATAGAGGTTCCGGTAGGATGGTATTAAAGGTGTTATCCAGTCTTGAAAATAGCAGATTTTATGGTTCTTAGTGACCTTGGACTTAATACTAAGTCTATTAGAAATTACATAGTCTAGTTTAGAACTCTGATGCATATCTTGCTCTCTTCTTTTATAAACTTTAAGTAATTTTGTATTAAAGTTGCTTTACCTTGAAGGAAATTGAAAATTTTAAATTATTTGCTATTTTTGAAATTTTAGGGGTGTTACATTCTTAAATCTCAATTTCATCTACGTAATGAGATTATACATGACATTATTAAGGGGACGTCGTGATCATGAACATGTCTACTAGGAAACAACTCAGCTCTTTAATTGCATCGACTTTAAATTTGGATGACAACTTCCTTAAGAATGTAGGGGTCTTAAATAGACGATCGGGTTTTCTATGATTAGTGCACTATCTATGTTAATTCTCGACTTGCATGGTGATAGCTATGAATTGTAAGTGTTCATATAGTGGGTATAAAGTCCCGCCAGTGGTGGTACAAGTGCACGCCGATACTATAATCGCTTCAAGTAATAAAGTGGTATGGTACCAAGATCGTTTCCACAGGGATTGAACTATTGAGAATCAGAGAGTTCCATGAACTTCTTGAGCACGTTTCGGTTGTGAATAAAACTTGGATTTTCATTGATAGAAACACCTAAAAGACGAAATAAACCTTTTTAAATTAAGAGATGGGTATGAGTGTAAGTTTTGCTTAAGACGATTGTAGGAACAAGTTGGTCAGAAACTCATGGGTCTTCTATACGAACTTCAATATCTCAAAAGTGAATTTTCATATATTGTGCCCACGGAGTGTTCACAAAGTTCCCATTGTCATAGATAAAGCTTGCCGAATTAGCTAAGTGTTAAAAAGATATCTAGTTCCACTGGTCTGAAGATTTACACTCAAATCTCTTTGTAATGTAAATCTCGACTAATATTTGAACTTTAGCTAACAACATGCAAAATCCGTATCTCTACGTGATTATCAAAGACTCTTTCAAATCTTTGTGCATCACTTAAGCCCTATTTCGAATCCGTCCATCTCTGGATCAATGATCTAATATTAACACCTTAAAATGATCGGCTTATCCATGTTGAGTTTAAGTCCCGACTTTAAGTGACCAAGCTTAAGAATTAGTAACATTGGCAACACCCTAGTGTGCCTACTAGTCTTAAGTTTGACTCACAGTCACACCCGAAAGAGGTGATTAGTTCATTATAAAACTAAAGAACATAGAAGAAGTAGAGAAACGCATACATAATACTTTAATTGAAATTTAACTAAAACTGATGCCACAGTGGACAGATAGTGGGCAGAAATGTAATTAAAATTAAATACAAGACAAGAAGTAAATACATAAAATTGAACTCTAACTATTGCTCTAGGTCTTCAGTTGAGAGTAAATGCTCCAAAGATGTCTCCCAAAGTTGAGAGTAAATGCTTCAATTTATAGGAGAGAGGGAGAAATGAACATTCTTTTTATCCAAAGAAAAGACACGTCATTTCTACTTTAGTCATTCCACTTTCTTGCAAGATCTTCTAGATTTGTTTGTCATCTTTTGAAAGGATGCAAAAGGGAGGGATGGGCATCCCCTTGATTTAAGGAAAAAAGTACTTTAAGCCATTCTTTAAACAAAAGGGTCTATCCCTTTAAATTTTGTGATATCTCCAGAATGGACTGCAGTTTTAAATCCTTTAAATACTCAGAAAATATGGTGCTTAATCTTATCCAGATCTGCCTTGAAAAAATTATCACAGTGGACAGGAAGTGGGAATGCATTGGGCACTGTCCAGTAGTTATGGTTTTCACAATAAAATCAAATTCTTGACCTTTTATCATCTCTTAAGAACATTTTAGACGAAAAATATAAGATAGATGTAAAATGGGTACATAAAAGATTAAAGATAGGGAGTACTGAACAATAAAGAACTCTCAACATTGAGAGCTATCACATGGTCATCCTTGTAACATGAGTAATAAGTCAACTATTTAGCATTAGGTCCACACATAGGCAAAATGATAAGTGTTTGAAAATCAAGGTGAAAAACTGGTGGTTTTTTATGAGGTCGATCTCTCGTACTTTTGCATATTCCGATAATGGAATAATATCCTTCTGGTAGCAAATAGCATTCATAAAACATTTTCGTTATTAGAGTTCCTTTTATTTTACTTAAAAGTGAAAATAAATGAACACGTACTTTGTTTTTCTTTAAGTGAAAAGGGAACCCATTGAACAAAACATGAGTAATTGAAAAAGTGAATCGGTGTGATAAATGCCATTGTTGAGTACTTACACACACAAAATCACAAGTTATGTATCTTGTTTTATTATGGTTCATAGATTTCAATTGAATTAGATGGCTTTTAACATATCCTTAAGTCCAATCACTTAGAGAACTTTCATATACAGTGACAATATGCATCTGAAATATATTTCAAATCTTAAGCAAACTATATTATTCATGAATACTAAAATTGTTCACCACAACGACTACCATTATAAGTAGTTAAAATGTTATTGGCTTTTAACTTGTCGTTGGTATTTCATACACAACCTTACGCATTACCCACTCTCTGACCCAGCCATTGCATTAGTTTTCAATGTGAGAACATGTGAAACCCTTGTTATATTACTCTTCAAAAGGGTCTTTAGAAAAAGAAGAAGATTCCGACATATATTGAGGAAAATGGTCTAAATTTAGTCGATGTGGAACTCAGTACCTCCTCCAACAAAGGCTAGACGGATACTGATTGTCACAATGTGTCAAGGAGGGTTTGATACACACATATTGTCCTAGAATGTCAAGTCTTGGAGTAGTAAACATTTGCTCTGATACCATTAAAAATATATAAAATCGTCACTGAATTACTCTTCAAAAGAACTTTTAAGCAAAAAAAGAGTTCCAACATATACCAACTTAAATTAAAGACTACAACATACAAAATTGCTATGTAATTCTATTTCAATATGTATATCATAAGAAGTTCGTTAACATGCAATGAATAGACCACCATAACTCATCAAGATTTAAGAACCACAAGTGTAGCGTTCATGTAGGCTCCAACCATTTAACCCATTTTGTTTTAGACCAACCACAAGTGTAAGTGTAGGGTTCATGAAGGCTCCAACCACTTAATCCAAATGCTCCATCACTTCAATTTCGACCAAAAGCAAAAACCCACGACACCACAAGATTGAGGTGATGACGTGGAATTGGCATAATATATAAAAGGGATGTGAGAGTCCTTTAACTTACAAGAAGCAGGGACCAACTCAAAAAACATATTTAACGGTGGCATCATTCAATTATGATGGAACTTTTTTCAAAACATGACATCATTTAATTAAGAAAATGACATTAATATGATTTGATCGAACTTGGATTTGAGATGGAAGAAAAGTCTTACAAACTAATTCTACCAAAAAAAACTTGTTCTTAATGTATTTTCAAAATCTATACAGACATACAACAAATTAATACGGTGACACTTTTCACGACTCTAATTTTTTTTATGTTACAACAAATGAACAATACGGAGGCACAGACCACCATATGCTACATATTGGGTCCGTTCCTAAAAAGAAGTGCTTCATGTGCCAAATCACATATGATGCAATTAGGGGTATAAACGATACGAGACAACTCGCGAGCTACTTGAAATCGACTCGGTCAACACTCGACTTGAATAGGCTCGTCTCAAACTCGAGCTCGACATATTAACAAGTCGAGTCAAACTACTCAATACTCGACTCGAAGAGCTCGTGAGATACTCGATTATTTTATATATAGTTAGTTTTAAATATAATCAGTTTTTATGATAAAATTTGTAAAACATAAATAATAAAAATATCTTATATTTTTAGATATTTAAACAAAATTATGTATTTTTATAATTATAAAAATTAATTTTTTTTATTAGAATCACAATTAAAAAAACAAAGAAAAACTGCAAAAAGAATTAGTGAAATTATCTCACATTGAAAAAGAGATGGTAAAGAAAGGAAGAAAATATGTTATAAAAAAAGAATGAGATGAATATAATTTTTAACTTTGTCTTTTTTATGATGGAGTTTAAAGTTGATTCCTTTAGTTTTATAAAAACTCAGAATGTTTTTAAATTTTAAAATTTATAAGAAAAAAACCCTAAAATCTCATAAATTTCAATGGGTAAGCTTGGTTCGAACTTGGTTTTGAACTTGAGAAATAGTTATCGAGTTTGAGTCGAGCTTGGAATTTTACTACTCACGAGTTTTCGAATTGAGTTCGAACTTGAAAATTGGGTTTCGAATGCGAGTATAGTGATACTCGAGCTCGACTCGTATCATTTACACCCGTAGATGCAACACAATCAATATGGCATATGCAATGGTTAGTCAAGATCGCACATGCAATGGTTGGTCCATGCAGTATATCCGTGGATGAATGACCTATTCAAAATTTTCTTTTAAACCCATTATCCGTGAACCTTCAGACAGATTTTAGCATGTCACTTGTATGCATCATAATATCACTTGTATACACCATAATGTGCTAAATTTGTTACAAGGTTATGTTGTTGATAAAATCTCGTTTAAGGTCAACACCTAAATTGTCCATTTTACGAGGGACTGTCGCGACCGTTCAGGTGAGCAGGTCCTGGATTCCGTAAAAAAATGACGACTTTTTATAAACCTCGAAGATTGGCTATTTCTTCAAATCTTTCGGTCATAAATGGCCATCTTGACGGAATTTTTTGTTACGAAATCGGATTCAAACACACGATGCAAGGCTTTTCTTCTTATAAAAGTAAACGTAAACTCTAGATGCTACAAAAGCTCGAGCAAGACGATCCTAAAACAACCGAGATCAGATGAAACACCATACCACACATATTTACATGACCTACACACACACGAAACACAGCATCTATCTACGAGACACATGCGTAGCCAAAACCGTGGAAGGTGGATGAATGAGATCACATCTCACAGGTCGTAAGGAGGACGAGGGCTCCTGGTTCCAATCCCGCTTGCCTTCTCGAAAGCATCCGATGCAGACTTCCTCCGAAACCTGAATGCCTCTGATCTGCCTCCTGATCACATCTCATGTTAGCTCAATTAGTAATCATCTCAACTTCATGTGTATCAACGTGAGTTATGGAATATGGCCCAAAGTTTTTACACTCCCAATCATGTATGTTTTAACTTTTAGAACAATTATAACATGTAAAAGCGTAAGAAAAGCTTGATATTACAGTATTTGCCAGTTAAAAAATAGGCCATAATTCTATATTTAATTAAGTTGGTGTTCCATTTTTTCTTCCCCTAACCATTGATTAGTAAATAATTAAATCTGAATGATTAGGGTTAAATTATGGACAATGTCTTTTTCATGGTGGTAGATGGGAGATAAATCTAATCTATAATTGCAAACAAAGAGACAAATTTGCCTCGTTGTTATCCAACTTCCTACTTGTAAACGGTCAAACTTGTTGTAATTACCAAACTACCCTCGTTCCTATCACCCTGGATGGTTCTAGATCATGAAGACGCGACGCGATGCACGCTTACCGGGGAAAGGAGATACCGGAGTTGTAGATCCGGCGGGAGATGCCGGCGGCGTGTCGGTCAGAGTTCTCTCAGGTTTTACGATCATTATACTGCGTGTTACTCTCATCGTAGGATCCTCTACCGCCGTACTCGTCACCGGCGGCAATTCTGCTTCAGAGAAAGCAAATGAGTTGGTTTGGTAAAGAGTACAGATCCGACTACTTACAGGTTTAGACTCCATTTTTTCATGAAAATAAGTGAGGTTTTGGGTCGGATACACAGTCTGACATAAACTGTTGGTTTCAGGATCGGAAACATTTCCAAAATAAGGTTCAAATTTAGTTTTACCACCGATTAATCTGAGAAAGTATTGCTTCTATTTTTAGATCATTTTAGAATTTAACAAACAGTAATTACAGGAATCAATTATAATCACAAGTTCATAATCAATTAAAATTCGCGCCAAATTGGAAATCTGATGATCACAGGAAGCAATTAAGCTGTAATCAATACGATTTTAATCTTTGAGAGAAGGGATTTTTCAAGTAAAATGTTAAAAAATTTAAGTGTTCAACATATTCTTCAACAAGTTCAAAAGCGGCAGGTAACAGCGTACCCTTGCCGGAATCCGATGACCCGAAACTAAAAGTAGAATGTTTTCGCAGCTTTCCGAGGCCTTTATCCGGCCGAGGTCCGGCGACTGTGTCGTCCCAAAACTGATCGAGTAAGCTCATAGCAGCAAAGTTTACCGAGCAATAGAGATTGTAACAGACACCCCTATGGAAATGGTGGAGTGATTTCAAGACTGGCCATGGAGGTATTTAATGGGGGATTGGAGCATAAAGTTGGAACAGGTTCTTTATACGGGTATTTGATCGTGGCCGTTGATTTTGGATCTATGTAGACCTTTATACACGTAAAGATAAGATCGATGTCAAAAATTAGATGAGATTGCCACGTGACAGGTCTATATACTAGAGGCTAAAAGTCACGAGCCCTCCTTAATTACCTTTTGCCCTTGGATCTCTGTGGAAATTACGAAAATGGGATCGTGGTCTAGCCGCCTCTCTAATGTTGACACGTGCAATTACTTTTACACCTATTACCCCCAGGAAATTACGAAAATGGGATCGTGGTCTAGCCGCCAAAACAAATGGTCATAATTATTATCCTTTTTAATTAATAAAAAGATAATTTTTAATTAAATGTAAAATAGAAAAATTGACATTTACTTTTAAAAATAAATAATTATTTTAGAATTTTGAATTATAATTATTATAGAAAATAGACAATTATAATTGTCTGGTTTAATCTTTAGAATTTTGAACCGAAGATTTAGAAGAAACCTGCTTTTTATTGTTTTGTTTTTTTGTCCAAATGACCAGTGACCCTTGGACATCATTACGAGTGCCCTTTTTTCGACATAATACCTTTACTTGTAGTTAGGGGGTTCGATTGTGTTTATTGTATAATTCATTAAGATAATGATTTCGTAACTGAGGTTTCTTATTTTTCAATTTCAACAAAGTCACCGTCACTGATGTCTTTATCAGCCACTAGATATTTAAAATTTCTAAAAATCTGCAATCAGCGTTATCTAAACAATTTGAGGCTGAAATTGACATTAAACACTAGTTTCACTCGAACATAATATTATACACCACGTATTTTTTAGTTGTTTCAACCAAATATAATATGTTACGATAATCTCCAAAACCAGTTTACTTATCCATTGAACATAAGTCCATAAGCGATATTGATAACTTTGGTTTTTATTAAACCAAGATTTCAAATCAAATATTGTATTATTCAGTGATGTTTTTATCCTCGTTATTTGTCCCATCTTTCAAATGCCACGAAGAAGATGAAGATGAACCTAGACATAAAAATTAGGGGCCCAACATAGATAATTGGGAAATAAATGATCGAAATAATATATGGTTAAAAGCCCGATACAATATATTACAAGTTGAATTACGTTAACATTTTCAATAGAGGGTAATCGATTTAGATATATGAAAAAGAAATTGGAATCAAACAAATTGTGCTACGTTTGATGATTAGTTTATGCTTAGAAGAAGGAACATCGTGAGCTTGTGTGAGAGTTGCTTTGATAGAACTAATGATCACAAGTAATACAAGAGGGCCGACATTAGGGGGGGGGGGGGGGGCGTCTGTATATCGTAAAAAAAGTTTGATTAAGAAGTTTTGTTACATGAAAAGATTAATCATATTCAAACAACATGATTATGTATTGGATCCACAATTAACCGATAGGTTCAAAATCCTGTCACTCCGCCTTGTTTGGATCTTATAGTCAAAAAATCTTACTTTCATAATTTTAGACAATGGATTAGATCCTTAAGTCATACATTTATTTAGGATAATGATTATAGTGTGTGTGTGTGTATATATATATATATATATGTATGTGTGTATATATTGTTCAAATACAAACAACCGTAAAGTGTTTGGAAGAAAAAAGTTAACTTTTGAGTTCAAGCAATATGTTGATCCAGGTTTGTGGATTTTCATTTCCAAACGCCCTTTGTTTTCTTCTTCATTAATTATACCATTGTCTCTTCATGATGTTAGTGTGTACCCAAAAGCCAATCATAGGATGAATGTATGTTTCTATATTTTTGTCATGATATTTACTAATAAAGATATTGTTGTTATAAAATAACCGGAGGAAAACAATAATAGAATGGAGAGAATGAATTTGTATTTCTCATTAACCATAGGCCCTTTTTATAGGGATGAGTTACAAGTAGATAACTATGAGATATTTCACTTATAATCTAACTATAATATATCTATCTCTATCTCTATCGTCATATCATTTAGACGAAGACACACTTATCCTATAACACTCTCTCTTGTGCCAAGTCAAAGGAGTGATGGTGCACAACTGTTGTCTCATTAAAATCTTACACTAAAATAAAAACCTAGTGGGAAAAAATAAAATCAGGACGAAGGAAAGAGTACAACGCACCAGTTTCTTTGCAATACATAGACTTTTCCTTTTAGTCTAATATTCTTTCAGATTCGTACATTAATCATGAGCGTCAGGAAAGCAATATGGTATATAAGTTGTTGTATCACTAAAACTTACACCAAGAAACAAAACCCAAAGGGAAAAATAAAACCTTGGGTGAAGGAAAGAGCACAACATACCATTATCACATGTATTGTAGACTCCCCCTTTTGTCTACTACTCCCCCTGATACGTGCATTAATCAAGGGAGTTTGGAAAGGGAAGCCTTCTTGTGGTCAATCCAGGAGGCTATGAGAAACTTTGTGCCAAAGGGAAGCCTTATACATAATGACTTAATTATTCTCATTACGCTTTTTGACAAATGATTTGTCTATGTCCTACAGGCTTTATACTTGGTGGGTTAGCACTACCTGACCAAATACCCATTCATTTGTCAAAGTATAATTTTCTTGGATTGTTTCTTTTCATTTAGGCCATATTTGCTCTTCGTTGACATTTTTCCTGCTGAGCATGGTTCGATGTTATCATCTTATGAGCAACAATATGATATATCATCTATGAGTATGTATGATCTGTCCATCAACTCATGCACTCTCATAATTCGTTTGAGATTTTTTTGATCTCTGGAATCAATATTAACTTCAGAGCGTCATCCAGTAATGATTCATAGATGTGGTTTTAATCAAAGACAATCTCATGAGAGATTTATGTATTTATGATAAATGGTTATGCCTTACTCTTCTTTTTCTTTAGATAAGTATCTGATAAATGGTTATGTCTTACTCTTCTTTTCCTTGAGATGAGTATCTATTGAACCAAGTAGCTTCCCCCATTTCCTTTTGGGAGCCACGGCCTCAACCACACCTCCACCATGTGTGATTGCAACACACATTCCAGCGGCATTGTGCCCTTGTTTGGAGACTTTTAACCTTACGGGTATATTTACAGTTGATATATGTGTTCTTGTCACTCCTTGAATAACATCAAACATATCAGGTATCGATTATGATTCGTTTAAAGATTTATTATTCGTTTCACTTCACTTTCACATTGTGAAGTGCATGGATCAAAATAATGAGACAGAGTGGGAATATTCCATGACAATTCCAGTCGTTCTCTTTTAAAATCCTTTTTCCTATCTCCCCCTCACGACGGGAAGACTGTCTCATCAAAGTGACAATCCATAAACCTTGCGGTAAATAGATCACCAGTCAAGGGTTCTAAATAGCGAATAATTGTTGGGGATTCATATCCAACATATATACTTAATCGTCTTTGAGGGACCATTTTAGTACAATGTGGGGGTGCAATTGGCACGTATATTGCTCAACCAAATATGCGTAAATGTGAAATACCAGGCTCATATCCAGTTACCAACTGGTATGCAAAAAATGGTTGACTAGCAGTGGGTCTAAAGCGAATAAGTAGTGTTGCATATAATATTGCATAACCCTGTGCAGAAGTGGGTAAATTGGTGCGTGTAACCAATGCCCTGGCTACCATTTGTATCCTTTTGATAGTAGCTTCTTCAAGATTATTTTGTGTATGCACATGGGGTACATGATGCTCTACATCAATCCTAATAGACATGCAATAATCATAAAATGCTTGCAATGTAAATTCTCCAGCATTATTAATTCGTATAGACTTGATAGGATAATTGGGGTGGTAAGCTCTTAAACGTATAATTTGTGCTAAAAGTTTTGCGAATGCAGCGTTTCATGTGGACAATAGTGCGACATGCGTCCATCATATTGATGCATCAACTAGAACCATAAAATAATTTAAAGGCTCGCATTCTGGATGTTTATGTCCATAAATATCACCTTGTATTCATTGTAAGAATGGAATATCTTTGTATCATATCATATTATCATTAGTTTTTAGGATGGTCTCATTCCTGTCTTGGCTAAGGATCAGGGTTTACAAAAGTTTGTAATTCAAGAGAGCATATTATGATGGTGTGTTGCTCTTGTGCTGTAGAAGTCAACAATTGCAATTTTTGGTAATTGCCTCACTTTGCATTTCACTTGAAAGAAAATGTTTGTGTATTTTGCAACACACGGATCATTATGTCGTGACCAGGGTGTTTCACATGGTCATATTGAAACATATATATGTCATTGTCCCAAAGTTCTTTATTGGCGACAATATATGATTCAACGACCTAAATAATCCACTAGTTTGACACATTTATTTCTCTAATATATGTTCATTAGAGTTAATGTACATACACTCATTTCCATTATTTAATATCATTTTCATTTGATACAAATATCTTAACAAGGTTTCTATTAATATAGTGTTTTAGTGGCTATTAATTTTGTATTAACTAGAAAATGACAGTCCATTGTCTAATTATTATGATGGGAGGAATTACAAAATAAATATTAGTGTATCTTTTAAGATTGCGTGAGAGGCCCCACAAAAACACTCAAGTTCTTCTCGATACATTCCTACACGAAATGAAGAATATTGAGAGTTTTATATTTGTTTTCATGTAGTTCTTTACATTTATAATGGTTATATATTCGGTTTTACATCAGCAAATGAAATTAATTTAATACTTAGAATAAATTTCAAATAAAATTATGCTTAATCAATCTTAAAATTGATATGATATAGTCTATTTTCAACTTGTTCTCTTTCATTGTCCATTATCTTATGGGCAGTAGTAGCATCTCTGCTTCAAAGATTGGAAAATCCTTCTCTACTCTTGCCATGACCTTGACCCTTTTGACGGTTTCGTCCACATGGTGCATGTGTGAAATTGTTCTTAATCACAATCATTTGGAGTTGTTTCCACCTCTAACTCT